AGAGAGATTCGGCCTGGTACCTACTGGATCAAAGACATGGATGGTAGGGTCCAACCTCATCCGTAGAATATTGAACATCTGAGAATGTACTATCAATTAATGTAATCCATAGCTGGAAGTTCTTTCCCAGCCTTTGAAAATGAATAAAAGTTCCATTTTCGGAAAATCTTCAAGCGTAGACGCCTCAGAGGAGAGGTTGGAACCCAAGAATAGGGCCACCTCGTTTGAACTCCGAGGCATACATTACATGCCTCCCTTTGACGAGGCTGAATGTCAAGGGAGAAGCCTTTACGTGGATGAACCATCCACCATGTATGGAAGCGTGGACACCTCGGAGGAGAGGCTGGAACCCCAAGAATAGGATCACCTCGTTTGAACTCCGAGGCGTACATCACATGCCTCCCTTTGACGAGGCTGAACGTCAAAGGAGAAGCCTTTNTGTTACTTCCCAGTCTTTATGAATAAATGAGCTTTTCTCCAGTCTTCGCCAACTATCAAATAAGTGTGGGCGACTCGGAGGAGAGGATGGAACCTTAAAAGAAGGCCACCTCGTTTGAACTCCGAGACGTACATCACATGCCTCCCTTTGAAGAGACTGAACGTCAAGGGAGAAGTCTTTACATGGATGAATCATCCTCCAAGTAAAGAAGCACAAGTTAAATGGCTTCAGAATAAAGACATTCGAGAGCCCACCCTTACGAGTTGTCGAATTTCAGTCAATTAAGGTTAACATTCAGTTTTATCTTACTAGATCATTTATTCAGTCAAAGTTTAAACAGCTCACACAATATATAAAGCCAAAAGCAAATTTTTATTTTTTTTTTTATTCATTGAAGACTAAGTTACATGCATAGGCCATTGGCCATACAAAATTTAAGATGAACTAGGGGGTGGGGGAGCTTGAGCGTCAGGCGCAGGAATCCCTGTTGATGGCGGTTGAGGCTCTACTACAATTACGTCCTCAGGCTCATCTCCATTATTTCGTCCCCTTCAGCTGGGGTCTGAAGAACCTCCTCCTCAATGAATTCTGCTTTGAGCTCAGAAATATCTAGCTCTGGATGCAACTCCCCAACTCTCTCAAACACCTCGTTGTAAGCCACCCTGGTCTAATAAATGCCGAAGCGACGATACTCTTCTGTGAGATGGAAATTAGCAATATAGTTCCTCACCGCGATATCACCTGCTTCACGAACGTCGACTTCGTATTTTTTCACTTCCGAGGCATACCACCTTAGTTCGTTCTCCATGAACTTATTGGCATCCTTACATCCGGTAAGTTCCAGGTTCACCTTCTCCACGGCCTCCGCGGTGACCTTTTGGTGATTATCAGACAGCTCCACCTTTTTTTGTAAGGGCTGCCACCTCACACTAAGACTCATGCACCTCCTTCTTCAGAGCCTCAACCTCAGCTAAAACGGACTCTAGCTTGGCATCATCCTCATCCTTCGGACTCTCAGCTGAATGTTCAACTCCTTTTTCTCTTGGAGTTTAGCTTGAACTTTAGCCAGCTCATCACGCGAGGCTCTGTTCATTCGCTGAATGTCAGAAAGAACTATATGGCATTCAAGTGTCACGCCAAAGGCCCTGGCGGTTTGGCTCACCAAGGTGGCAGTGAGATCCACTGCGTTACAGGTGGCTACATAATTCTGCCACCTCTCTGTCCAGAACTTATTGAATCCCTCAGTGGCACTCCTCATCTCAGGAGGAAGATTTCTATCAAAGCAAGGGCTATCTTGTCATCCCTACCCCTCAGGAAGTTCCTGGACTTCCCTGGGGTCCTTTCTACTGGTGCCTTCTTTGTGGCCTCGGAGGCCTTCATCGCATCTTCAATTATCCTTCGAGATTGTGCCACCAATGCAGCATCTATTGAAGACTGGAGGAGCTTCGGCTGCTCGGGCACGTTTTTCTCAGCATAGGACACTGATGTCCCAAAACTTGAAGAAGACCCACCACCTGGGCCCAACTTCCTTTTCTTTTGGGGCTCTTCGACCACGCCCTTGCCCTTGGCAGCAAGTGGTTTACCCCCTTTGGGAGCCTCTTTGAGAGCCTCCTCCTCAGCCTCTTCCCCCGATTTATCTTTACTAAAGCGGTCTAGCTTCGATTTTACTTGCTTGGTCCTCGAGGACCCAGGCTTCAGTACCTTCACCCCAACAGTGGACGTGGCCTTCATAATGCTAGCCATGTCACGCAGAGCATACTCTTTCTTGCTGAATTTATCTACAACCATCAGAGGAAAAGTTAGACTACTAAAGCCATGTGAAGGTTAAAAGTTAGAAAGCTTCTTACCTTTAGGAGCCATTAGTCCAAAATCAATGAAGTATCGATTCCTATCGATAAGATGAGCAAAGCTTCGGAGCCTCGGAGATCGTTTGTAAATGTCCTCAATAATATTACACTCCACTTCGGTCAGCTCGTACCTTGAACTACAATCTGCAAATCAACAAATAAGATTTAATACCAAGAAGCTATGCAGAAATTACAAATATTCAAGACGAGGCACTCACAAGCTTCGTAGTACTGGGCCGGCACGGTAACGTCTGGGACAGCATCTCTCTCAACCATCTGCCACCTACCCTTC